ACTCAATGCCTTAAGGCTGGACGTCAGCACCCTTGGCTACCAGGATACTGACACAGAAGCCACCCCTACCAGGCGCTCTCGCACCAGGAGTAGAGGACGTGGTCATCAGTAGTTTTCTTTATTTTCTAAGTAGTTTATTTTTTCTGTTTCATTTCCTTTCTGTTTGTTTTTGTAATTATATTTCCCCGCCGATATACCGCAACATTGAGGACAATGTCGGATTTAGTGTGGGAGAGGTACCTTTCCATCTTCTATAAACAAGTAAATTTTTATGATATGTCTCAACTCAAATTCTTCGCTTTATTTAGCCATATCGAAAATTTTTATCTTCGCATTAGCCTGACATACCTATTTTAACGAAATCCCAGTTGAGGAAGCCGAAAACGAATCAACATGATCGATACGGTTATGACACCGTAGACTTCCTACTTACGTGATCCGTTTCAATAACCATTATACCTATATCTTGAGTTTTAGTTCTGAAGTAACCCCTAGTAGTTTATACTAGCAGTCAGCACCGTCTTGACACAAACCACGTGGAGAATCGATGAATATAAGTGTTTGATGCCTGAATCATAGAAATATCCTTCTTATCTCGCTGCTAAAAGAAAAGAAATTACGTGCACCAAAATATACGGTCACATATAAGAGTTGAGCAAATAATGAAGGAATCCACTGTTGGTTGGTTCAGAGGTATTTGGTTCTGAACTCAGTAGGGCGTGCTACGGCCCGATCCCCCACAACCTCCAATTTGGATAACATATGTAGGGTTGCCACATTCGTGTACCAGACCCCGTGCTAAAAGGATCAAAGTCACTAACCGATTACTCCACTACGTGCGTGCTAAGACAAAAGGCTTAATATGATTGTGCCAGAATGAAACCGGGTGAAATAGATACGAGGAACTCTGGGCAGAATTATAACGGAACTGTTGGATAGTTCGTTTGAAATGGAAGCCTACGACTAAGCTTATTGCTTGTGTCATCAGCGTATCGTTAGTGTTTCACTCAAGTATCGGCCGAACTGACGAGGATTTCCCGAAATTACTTTAAAAATCGAAGGTATGTCATGCATATGCGTTTGACAAAACTTGTCTGATCTTTCTAATGACTATTTGCTTGAGGACAGCAAAGGTTTAAGTATGGGGGAATTTGATAACGAGAAATCGTATCATATAATTACTACACTTTTATTGATTTTCATAATACATTGAGTCGTTTAACTCCCGATTGTTCCGAGTTTTTGTGTCTTTTCACAGGTACAACATTTGTCAACTCAAATCAATGAAAAAGGATCACATGAAGGAAGCTAACCAAGTATCAGAAGAAAAAGAACCAAATCTGCAAAGTCTGCAGATTTTGTAGCTGTGACGACCGTAACGCTCCCACAACTAGAAGAACGCTCGTCACACATCATTGACGAGCGTAACGCGCTATCTAAGCGCATTACGACCGTCACCCCCTCGTGACGACCGTCACACGCTTAAAAGCAACGTTATGAATTAATGGAGACGTGGGCAACGTTGTGGGCAGTTTTTCTCCTCCTATATTTCCTCAACCTCAGTAACCATGAATTCGGGTCTTCCTCCACTCAAGCTTTTCCAGAATTTTCTCAACTGCAAAATCTTCTCCTATATATATATGTGGCAGTTCAATGGATGATGGTCGACGAATTTTCTACAGAACAAAATTGATGCTTTTCTACATTAAACTATTTTATTTATTTTTGAACCATTTTCATTCGTACTGTAATTTTTATTTCCAGAATTAGTTTCTAGAGTGTTAGTTCTTCATCCAAGAATTAACACGGTTATAGATTTCGGTTAATTGCAAGGAATTTGTACTACTCAAGACTACCATAGCAACGTTATTTACAGGTTTTTTATGCAATTAATTTTTATTTATTCTTGTGTTATGTCATTTATTTTTATGGATTATATTTTAAATTGCATAGTTACTAAATATATTATGTCCGGCTAAATTAATTTGTACCGGTATGTGACTCTTAAGTACCGAAAGAATTCGGTGATAACTTGGCTAAAAACATTTACAAATAATTTCTGGTTTCCAATTTCCATGTTTAATTTAACTACCCTTGTCACGAGAGTGAGAGGATAATTAACACGATTTTTCCACGAGAGTGAGAAATTAATTAAGGCAAGAACCTGCATGCGAGATCTGGGGTTCGACCCAGATAGTGGTAACGAAACATTAATTTTTAAATACATGAGAGTGTTTTAATAAATTAATTAAACTCAAATTGTTTCCAAAAAGTGTTATTAAATTTAAAGTGCATCCACTAGGTTTAGTAGCATGACTTATTTCATGAACACGAGAGTGTATGTCTCAGGTTTTTAAACAATTCGTTTTTACCGAAATACTTTATATGCCAAGCGATTCACCGAATTCCCGAAGTCCGACTATCACATACCGGTATAGCTATTACTATTATTTTTAATTAAACTCTCCCCCCCCCCCCCCCCCCCTAAAACCATATATTCATCGCTTAGTTAAACAATTGTAGCATTAGATCGTATGCGATTGATCCTCAGTCTCTGTGGGTTCGATAATCATTTAAAACTAGAACGACTAAACTGTATACTTGCAGTTAGTATCCCAATAGACTTATAAAGTCCCGATCACTTGGACATTTTAGAAAGCTTGCAATGTGCTCTAAAATCCATATTTTAAATGCATTTTGAGATACCTCTTGGAACTAGGTGAAAAATGTCCATGAAGTTGGGTCCAAAACCTGCCTAAATTAGGGCAAAATTTCACTAAGTTATTTAGTTCATGGACCTATGTTCACAAATTCATAACTTGAGATCCAAGCATCTTTTGGGAAAAGTTTGTGCAGAAAAGTTGTAGATTTCATGGAGGACTACAACTTTTATGTTGGAAGTTTTCTTTGAATCAAAATGCATCATGGTGAAAAAGTGGTGAAAAGTTGGGAAAAAATAAGAAAATTTTCATACTTAGAAAAATTCTAAGTTATGAAAATTTTCAAATTCAAAACCCTAATTTTCAAAATTGGTTTTCTTGGTGGACAAGTTTTATGTTTTGACAAATATTGATGAATTATGACCCTTGGCATTTGATTTTGACCAAAAAGTCAAAGTTTGACTTTTCAGTGTATAGTTGACTTTTGATCAGTTGACTGCAAAATTCATCTGTCAATCCAATGAACTTGAGATCTTTTGAACCGTGTAATTAGGTCAAGATGATGCCATTGAGTCCTTTAAATCATTTTTAAACCCAATTGGCCATTGGCTAGGTTAAAAATCAGAAATTGCCCTTTCTCAGTAAAAACCCTAATTTTGACCATTTTGCCTTTTTGATGATTTGATCAAATTTCTTGAGGAGTTGTGATCCAAGCTTGATCAAATGGTACATATGAGTCTAAAATATTGATGTGGATAAAAAATTATGAAGTTTGACTGTAAATTGGCCATGGTTGACTTTTTCCCCAATACAATTGTTTTTTAGGTCAATTGTCCAATTGACTGATCAAAAATGTGGTTCAAGGCTTGAAACTTAACATGAGCAATCTTAAGGGTCCAAAATGATGTATAAAAGTAACATGAAGCATTGGTGGTCCAAAAATCCTTGTGCAAACTCAAACCCTAATTTTGGGTACTCAGTGCAAGGTGATGTCTTGAGCTGACCAAACCCTAATCTTGTCTTGAGTCCAAGAAGTCTTGTGAGAAAAGTCTTGATAAATGAGAGGGCAAATTTTGGGGTACAACAAGGACACATGTTCAATTGGCAGGATCTATGACTAATCAAACTTTTAGAAATTCCTTGGATAGCTTCAGAATTATGAAGTTGTTTGATATCCCAATTCATCCTCCCAAGTCAATCTCAGTCAAAGAAGTTTTTTGGGTGTCGCCTATGGTTAATTGGGTGAAAGCCAATATTGATGGGCCAGCTAATAGCACAACATCAACTTATGAAGGACTCTTTCGCAGTCACTCAGGGGATTTCATAGAAGGATTTTCAAAAAAAAAAGGGTGTTCATAATGCATTTTATGCATAGCTGACTGGAGCTATTAGAGCCATTGAAGTAGCTAAGCAACACCATTAACATCATATGTGGTTTGAAACATATGCATCCTTGTTGTCAAAGCTTTCAACAATCAAACATCGGTTTCTTGGTCCCTTAGAAATAAATGGCACAATTGTTATGCATATACTAAAGAAATAATTTTTTTGATTTCTCATGTGTATAGGGAGGCCAATTCGTGTGCCGGCTTGTTGGCTAATGAAGGGCTTTCGGTAGCAAGTTACTAGTCTTTCATTAATATTCCGCAAAACTTTTGCCTAGCGTCTTGTCCAACAAGTTAGGTCGACCTAACTTTAGACTTACACACTTTTGAGTGAGGGTTTTGGTTCGGTCCCTCCCTCCTTTTTTTGTTCTCTTACTTTGTGGCGTTATATTTTGTTTTCTTGTCTTTGTGTAATGTTTGTTCGATTCACATTGACATATTAATGTTTTCTCGTCTTTGTGCAATGTTTGTTCGATTCACATTGACATATTAATTTTGACTTAGTGCAGATTCAATCAATAACTTTGACGACGTCTGATTTTGTTCGCAGATTCATCATTTTCAATTTATAACGATTTTTGATGTATTCTATCAATTTGAATGAATGAATATCATTTTTATTAAAAAAAAATTAATAAAATAAAATGACAATTAGATTCATGAAATTAGACCTAAGAAGTATTTTAATTAGAATTAGAATGTAAATACATTGAATATTAGTTTTCTTATATTGATATAAGAGATTAACCACAAGATAATTGAAGAATAGTAAACAAATTGATACACTCGAACAACATTTCATGCTCCCTGGTCACTAAATTTAAAACACTGTCAAATACAAAATATAAAATCAAATAAAAATCCACACCTGCGCTACTACTAAAACAAACTAAAAAACAAAAAAAATAATAACAATTAAATCAAAAGGAACACGTTGTGAGTTTTATGCTACACCTCACAGCAATAGAATTCCGACAGCCAAAGCCAAAACTCCGATTCCGCCAAACCTAACGGCGCCGTTATCGTCGTCAGCAACATCATCAGCTGCATCTTCGGGAGAATCAGCTGGCGAATCAGAATCATCATCACTCGGCGCATCAGCCGCCTTCTTTTTCTTCTTCTTCTTATGCTCCTCCGCAGGAGCGGGAGCGTCAGCAGCTGCAGGCTCCGGCGCTGGCGCCGGAGAAGGACTCGGAGCTTTACCTTGAAACAGTTCCTCTGGAAGAAGAACCTTAGAGATAGTATAAATAGCAAGCGGCTGTTCGTCGATGATCGTGTTGGTGATCTTAGCAGTTACAAGCTTTGTCTTCAACGTGATCTCATCACCGTCGTTCTGAACAGTGAAATCGTACTTTTCAGCACCGTCGGTAGCAAGAGTGTTCATAACTCCGTTGTTGGATTTCAGATTAGCAATAGATTGATAAATCGGCACGCCGTGAAATTCGAGGAGAGCGATTTTTCCGGCGGCGGTTAGGTTTTTGAATTTCGGGAGAAAGCCTTTGAAAGCGTCGTCGGCGGGACAGAAAATAGTTAATCCACCCTCTAGATTGTCTGTGAAGATGTGGGAAGCTTCGGGTGAGGCCAAAAGAGTGTCGGCGAAGATTTTGCAACCGTGTTTGGACATAATCGCGGTGAGGTTTTGTTGCTTAGGTGGTGGTGTAGGAGCTTCCGCTGCGGCGGAGGGGAGTATTTGACTAATCTGAATAACCGAAATGATGTTCTCAATTTCTTCAATAGATTTGACGTAGAAAGCAGGTAGGGTTCCTTCGTTGTCATTAGCACCGAATCCGACTTTTCCGCCGCGAAGATCGGTGATATTGACTAATCCCGAGGCTCCCGGTGCGGAGCCTGTGGCTTGGTACAATGTGGAGACGAGAGCGGTTCCGTTAGTGATTTGGTGAAGCTTTTTGGCTCCGAAGTAGTCGACGAGGACGTGGAGAGAGAGGATGTTTTTAACTGTGTAGATCGGGAGGTCTTTTGCTATGAGGTCGTCCATGGCGGCATTGTTGACGGCGAGGACGGTGATTGTTGTGTGACGGTCGATTTCGGAGGCGAGGTGAGTTAGGGTTAGGTAGTGGTTGAAGGTGGAGAAGTCGGGGTTTTGGGAGAGAATGTGTGTGATGTTGTGTGCGGTGGAGGTTGTGAGAACGGCGGAGAGGATTAAAAGCGCCGCCGTGAAGGCTGCCATTGTTGATGGTCGGTGCATGTGGAAGAGCAGAAGAATGAGATCTGTAAAAGGGGAAGTGGACAGTGCAGTGTGAGAACTGAGAAGTGGAGAATTTGAGACAACAGAGTTACTACTGATAAGAGTGTTAAATACAATGAGGTCTAGGGTTTGAGATTATTACGGATTTACCACTGAACCCACAGAAATTAATTAGGACAATTACTATTGTAATTTTAAGTAATTAATTATATTAGTAGAAAATTAATAAATACATGAATTATTTAAGAATTCGCCTCCACCGCTCCGTTGCCTAGTAGTACAAGAATGTTAAACATTTCTTAGAAAATGGGAAAGAATCTGAAAGGCAAAAAAAAAAAAAAAAAAAAAAAGAAGTTGAGTAAAGGAGGAGGAAGTTGTTGCCAGCATATCACGTGACTTGATTAGCATCACTTTCTTGTTACCTTGGAGAAAGAATAAAGTTAAACTAATTGGTGGATTAATACGCGTTTTCTTAGTTTTGAGCATTAAGTAGCTTGAGTTAATAATTCTCTTTCTACTGGAACATAAGAGTGTGTTCGGGTAGAGTAGAATAGGAAAAAGAAAAATAGGTGAGAGAAGTTAAAGAAAGATGGATAATTTCTTTTATTTAGGAAGAAGAAAAATTAAGGAGAAAGATTAAAAAAGAGTAGATTTTATACTTTTTATATTTCTCTTCATAATCGAAGAGAAAGTGAGAAAAAATTAAAATAGTAAAGTGATTATTTTGTCTATTAAATTATAAATTTATATTTTTTAAATTATATTTATTATAAGATATTATAGTACTTAAAAATATATAATATTTCTCTTTTCTCTATTCTTCTCTCTTTCTCTGACACCAAATAATATTTTAAATTTATTTTATTTCTCATCTTTTTTTTCTCTTATTACACTATTTCTTATTTATTATTTCTTTAAAATTTCTTTTCTAAACTAAACACACTGTAAATGTTGACATATTGAAAAGTATTTTAATTTTGTTAGGTATAATAATTTAAATAGTTTGTCTTCTTCTTGGTCAAAAAACCGTTTTTGTCTTTTTTTTTTATATAGTAAAAAACCGTTTTTGTCCATATACTGGCAATTGTGTGATTGTACATGCTTATATGCAGTTTAGTAAATTAGGAAGTTTTATTTTAAAAATTAATTTTAAATAATTACTTTTTATGACAATTTTAGAAATGACTTTAACTCTCTTTTCGTTTAAAAATTACTTATTTTTGGATTAAATGGGTCAAAATTACTTTAATTCTATTGATTATACAAGTCATGGTTAATGTATGTACGTGCGTGACTTAATGATAAACTGCTAAATATAAATTACTTATTTAAAATAAAAAAAACAATTCATTATTTTTCTATTTTAGTATTTTCTTTTAATAGTAAAATAACAATCACTCTCTTGATCTCAAATTAGTTGTATTCTTTTAATTTTACACAGTTCTTAAGATAATAAAATAAATATTATTATTAAAACAATTTTTATTACTAGATAGTAAATGAATTGCATGCACTAAAATATAATAAGAGTAAATTAATAAATAAAAATAAGATTTAATCACAGTTTTAACCATCTATTTTATTTATTCACGAAATTGATTTTCTATTTTAAATTTAAATAGTTTTGGTCCTCTCTTATATTTTTATATTTGTAATTAAAAGTATTTAAATTTTTTAAATGACAAGTTACTTGTAAAATATGATAAATTATTGTATGTAGATTTATTATTGAACTTTGTAGATAAAAAAAGTTAAAAAATGAAAAAATCTCATCGATTTTCTATGGAAAAATATGAGAGAAAGACTAAAACAGTTTGAATTTAAAATAGATGACCAAAACGGTTTGAATTTAAAATAAGTGGACTAATTTTGTGAATCAGACAAAATCGAGAGACTAAAACTGTAATTTAACTTAAAGATAAATAAATATTATTGTTCTATTGGAGAACTAAAAATAGAGAAAGAATTGATGATTACATAAGACTACAGTGGATCTGAGTTTCTTATGCGGCAGAGAGGGGACTGACTAGCCTGACTTGCAAGGTTAACACACCAATACTCTAGTTAGTATGTGAGAAAGAAGAGTGAGTGAAAATTGTAGTGTTATATTTGCAAAAGACCTTGCCTACGGCGATGCACTGGGACTGCCTTAGGAGAAGGTGACGTCTTAAAGTCGCTCGAAAAGAGGTATCGCCTCGCCCTTAAGTTTTTCTTGCCCATAGAGAAAAATAAAGCGTGGGATAAAATGTGTCTTGGATAAAGAAAAGTCATAGTCGTTACTGGACCACATCTACTTTAGTAATAGAGATTCAACTGTCCACCATTTGACAAAGTGGGTTGTGGCCTTTTCCGAGGAAACCCTGGGTCCTAGAGACCTCTATAAATATGATATCCCTAAAGGGGAAAGATGATAGACTTTAAGTCATATACACTCCCCACATTCAAAGAGCACTATACTCATTACCATTATAACATACACAACCAATTTAACCATCCACGTGCAACCAAGTAGCGACGGTCGTCTGCAGAACCTCTCACCTCACAAGAGTTGGTCCCTTAAAAAGCCTCAAAAACCACTACACAGAACTTCTCGTATCATCAGCAAGCCCTGAATATCCAAATGTGTTATACTTATAAGGGCCTCTGAGTCTCTCTTCCCTTGTAGGAGGAACACACACAACCTATACTTCTTTACCAATACAATGGTGTTCACCGTGAGGACCTGGTAAAATTAACTTGGGCCAAATCTTTCACTCCAACCATATCATCCTCCTTTGTGTAAAGATGAATAACATGGTCCTACATCATGTAGCCAACACCATTGTCAGAGGTAATTCTGGGAGAGGCCTCTTCAGGGCCGCCCGACAAAGATACGTGAAGTATGTGTTCACGACGAACTTCATATGCCCCTGATTTCCTAAAAACACCATAGGAACGACAAGGGTCAACATCATTTTCTCTTAGAAGGATGCCTTGGGCATCAACTGTAACACCCTCTAACCCCATATATACATAAATAACATAATCAGAGTAAATTAGCATACATATCAAAGAGGGCATCACAATTGACTTCATAAAACGATAAAGAAATCAAACATGCATATTGGTCATGATCATAACACATATTCAAATTCACATTTTATACACCAATACAAAATATGCATCTCGCAGCGGAATAATTATCTCAACATAAAGATATAAATGATTGAAATCTCATACTAACAATCATATCATAAGTATTAGGCACTAAGGCCAAACATCACATAATCTCATACATAACCAAATAAAAGAGAGTAATAACAAATATCTCTCAAGAAAAATAAAAACATGAGTTCGAATATCCTCCGTGTTACATAGACCATAGCAATGACTCACTACCTAAGAATAAGTAGATAAATAAGGATCTAGCTCCTCCTCTAATCCTGGCAAGAAGCACTGCTATCTCCGGTACCTGAAGGGTGAGAATTCATATTATTATGAAAATATATAATCATAATCAAAGTAAAACATACACACCGATATAAATTCACCACTCTTCATAAAACCACGTATTTGGCATAACATAATCCAATATACCAATCCACGTATACAACATAGCTCATTAATTCATATTCCAAATGAAATTCAATTCCAATTACCACAATTATACAATTAAATCAATTATCACATGTTGCATAGCAAAACACCACATTCACACTAATATTACATAATGAGTGATAATGCAACAATTTACATCGACACGTGTGACTCCAATGCAACTCAAATGTATTATGTATGTGGTACCAATGTTATCCTTACCGATCCTGTCGGGTCCACATCTCCAAGATAGATAACCAACAATAAAAGCCAGATTCAGCCTTAAGCTTTCAAACCTCATTCACCGTTAGGTTTGGGACAAGTCAATAGTTCACATGGAATTACCAAACCTTTCCTCTTGACACAAATGATGCATGTACATATGCAATCACAATAACTCATCACAACAACTCATCACAACAACTCATCACATAATTCAACACATTTTGAATTATCTTCATAACATTGCACAACATATATCTTTCATGCCAATCAATCACATATACACAATCTCATAGTATAAATCATCTTAACACATCATTATCATTATAACATGTAGCAATTAGATACAAATCATGCTATATTCAAACATCATCAAATTCCAACACTTACATACACAATTCAAGTGTTAAGTTTCTCATCAAAACGCTTCCAAAACTAATCTGAATCAAGTCAAATAAATTATTAAAACACATGTAAATCCATGATAAATCATAACATATAAGATCCAAATTCCATTCATGCATAAATAAATTTTTAACTTGCAGCCACCCGCGCTAAGCGCCCTAACCCGCGCTAAGCACCCCCTTGCGAAAACCAGAAAAATTTTTGTGAACAACATTATATCATAAAAACTAGATTTCAAAAACTTAATTTCCAGATCTTTAAATCAATTTGGGTGATTCAAAATCTAGAAATTCACATACCCAATCTTATTACATGTTACTACCCATCATATACTCCCATAATAACATAGATTCTCACCCTTATCTTGAGTGTAGAGTCTTTGGGTTGTCTCTTCACTTTTCCTATTTTCTCCTTTTTCCTTCTCTTCTCTTCTCTTCTCTTCTCTTCTCTTCTCTTCTCTTCTTTTCTCTTCTCTTCTTTCGGCTTCTTACAATTATAACATCTAATCTCTATTTTCCTCGTCTTACTACCTATTTCATTAATGAGCCTAATTCCACTCATCCGTTATATTATGGCATAAATCCCAATTCTAATTATTTTCTATTCTTACTCATAAATTCAATTATTCAAATAACACATATATTCAAATAATTTAAATATTCACCAAATCACACAATTAAATTAAGGTTTAAATTCCTTCTACCCCCCTACAATAGTAACAAAATTTGATTTACCCCCTTTTTAAAAAAAATTCTTTTCGCCCCTCAACAAACATAGATTCCATAACCCAAAACCTT